ATAGGAGTACCATTCTTCCTCCAGAAGAGCTTCATATCCTCAGGACCAATGTATTTATCCATGTCGGGCTGATTCTTGCAGTGGTGCTCGGGGCCTTGAGCTTCTGTAAAACCCTCTACGAGCATCTTATGCCAATCGTTGTCCGCAGTGAGCTCCGGCCGGCCGAATGCATCCCATGTTAGGCTAACGAAGGTGGCGACTTGCTGAGCTCGTCTGTATTTCTTGCCCTTGATATCTTGATCGACGTGGGGAGCGCGCGCAATGACGAGGAAGTCGTGCTTGCTGCCTTTTGGCAGTTCAAGAAGGGTAGGATTCATAATCTTCTGGCCCGTCTTCTTGACATTTATAGAGTTGTAGAAACCCAAGTTATTCCGTGTACTCGTGAGGAGGCGGTAATCGTTGGTTCGAGAGAGGAGAGGATCGTAGCCGGAACGCCCATTGCCGAATAGCCTGTCGCTCATGGTGAAGGTGAGGATCATGACGACGAGGAGGGCTGTTGTCGTCACGTAGAGGATGATGCGCCGCGGGTGAGGATGAGGAATGCGAACGCTCGAGAGGCGCACGCTCAAGTTGCGCAAGCTGTTAGGCAAGCGCATGTTGGAAACGCGCATCTTGAAATGAGGGAGCCGCGTCGGCTGGCGAAGAGAATTGAAGTGAAAGACAGAGGAGGCTCGAGCCTCACATCGAAGAGCAGGAGAAGACGTGTCTCGATTCGTGCGGCCGCAATCGGGCTCGGCTCGTTTTGAGGTAGCGGTGGTGCTAGAAGTGCAAGGAGGTAGAGAAAAAGACAGCGCCGCGAAGGAAATAAAGTACGGCAAAAGAGCGGATGGAAAAGAAAGATGGAGACAAGTTGAGGCGAAGTAATGTCCAGTGTTTGACACGATGGAATGGAATGATTGGACTTTTTGCAGGCGAGCGCCCCCCTAAAACAAGCATAAGAAGGAACCCACGATTTCAACAGACTTTTTTTCTTCTGGTTAAAGGGGAGGGGGGGTTACAGGGCCTAGCAGGGATGAGGGCCACTAAATCTAGAGTTATTTTTCAATGGAAGATTCGATTCCCTGACATCCTGTTGGTCAATGCGTCATGGGCTGCGCCACAATTGGTTGATTCCCGCCAGAGCTCTCCACTGCCGCTGGTACCGCACTCAGTGAAAGAACAGGTTCAGGACATGAGCTTGTAGATCAGTGAGTTCTTTTTTAACTTGTTTGCGTCTCAGCCATCGGCGATTAAAACACGTGGGCCCTGTCATCTCAGATCAGACAGAATGTTCGTGATATTCAGACACAAAGCTTGTCAATTAAATGCGAAGTCGTGGCACAGACAGTTCTAGATCTGGATGCGGAGAAGGCTTGTAATACAGTGCATGAACAACAAAGGCTCACGCGGATGGTTGCCACATTAATTAATACAGTCGCACAGTTGCAACGCCAAGTCTGCTCACACACCACCAGATAAATCTGTGGAGATTGCCAACATGGAGTTGTAGATTTGCCAAGGTGATCATCCACCTTTTTTCGTCTCTTCTAACATGTATATCAGCCCTATGGCGAACTCTATTTATTATGCGTTCTCACCGAGCTCATACATCTACGTACTGTATCGATTGTCATTAGTAGATATGATGAGGCGGTGATGCATACGTCAACAATGCGTACATTCTACGAGGTCTGGACTCTTCGTTAAGGCCTTGGCGGTCCCAAAGGATTGCCTGCCTAAGCGACGACCAAGTATGACCAGTTCTTTGCGCCTCTTTGTTCCTTCACCCACTCACTGAACCGTCACAGTGATGTATGGACCAAAGCGAGACGCGTCACCCCCATCTCAGGCTGAGATCGTTCTGCAACCTCCAATTCGGGATGTACCTTGATTGCGTCATGGGGGTCTCGTTTTTGAGCATTTTGTCAGGCCACTAGGTGTCGATGCTCAGAAACTGACGCGAGGTAGATTGTTTCCATCCTTCTCTGGTATTGTGTTTCACAAGGGAGCGTAGCTGCCAAACTGTTTGCTCATAGGTTCCGTGATGTTCAAGTGAAAATAAGGCCACCATTGCCAGCCACCTATATAACCAATTCAGTGTAGGACTTGGCGCTGCAATTCTTGGTAGCCACATCGCAGACAACGCAAACTATAACTAACTGATGCGGCCCATGTCGGAATTAACAGGACTCTGGAAGACGACTTCACCTACTATTGTAATGCTATACTTGATACGTAGCATCGGCTGGCTCTCGGTTGTCCGTTACCAAGTTTCTTGGCACAGACGCATATGGAATATCACAGTGAGGACCGCGATGCTAGAAAAAGTCCCAGTATGAGGAATACAGTATTTGTTAAAAGTAGAGTACGTTTGATAGAAGTCGAGACAGGTCCTGATACGAGTTAGGCTGTTGGGGTTTCCTCGTCGCGAACGGGACAGCTGGCTCAACAACAATACTGTACCAAAGACGTAGGCTCTTGATGGCTTCAAGCCTGGTTCTGTGAATAGCCTCGATAAATCTGTGGAATATGAAGCCACTGAAGGACGCACTGGAGACTGTTCGAGGGTAGGCCTTGCTTCAGTCTGGTTCATATCTTGAAGTGACTTCTACCGTTGAAAGTCTTAACAGACCGCGACGGCTAGAAGTACTATTTGAAATCTGGAAAGGATAAGTTGAGTTGCCAACCGCAAAGTTGGCAAACAATATACGACTCAAACCTTGCTTTCCATCAACTCCTATACCTGCTCTGAGAGCATCAGGAAAGCCGGTCACGAAGCACATGCGAATCATAAAGACTCATTAAACATCCTGAAGGTGTCGGGGAAGTAATAAATATCTGGTAAATGGGCGATATAAGCTTGAGGGGTGTTGGTACTATAGCCAGACTCATCATGCCCTTAAGGAGGTGTGAGAAATAATGCGGATGACGATGCATTGAGAGAGGGCTATGGAGATGACTGCGGCCTATAAGGTTAACCTTTAGGCAGCAAACACAAGTGACGAATGAGAACACGGTATTTATTGAGAGAGGGCAAAAAAGGAAAGAGGAACGAAAGACAAGGGAAAGGCGTCCTTTCCAAAAAAGATCAGACAACAATGCCACCAGTCAAACACTAATCAGTGTTCACATGGGTGAATGGATGTAAGGCAAAGACGATAAAGCTCATAATGCTCAAGATCAGCGAAGGGTTTGAACCTGCCTAAATAGTAGACTCCTTCCAAGCTGGTAAGGAGATGGAACCAACTCTCATAAAGGTAATAAGGCTTAAGCAATGAAGCCCAATGCGCTCAAGTTCAAAGTGAGGTGACTAGATAGTTAACGAAAAAGGGGAAGGCCCGTACAGTTGACATTAAGAAAATGGAGGAGTTGTATCCAGAGTGGATGTGTTGCGTACGAGTCAGCCAGACACAAGCAGCACAGCCATGCGATGTTTCTGGGTGCCGTCAAGTGTATGAAGTGATGCCAGAATTGTTCATCTGCCGAAGCTTCACCATGGGCCCGCGCCTCAGGCAACTTGGCAGAACAAACGGGTCAAACCCTAGTTACCGGGATGTTGTAAGTGGGATATCTGTATTTGAAAAGAACTGCGAGTCGGTGACAGAGGGTTTCTGCGTCGTACCTTGAGCACGCACGTAATGTAGTTCTCTCATGTGCCAGAGTATCAAGTGAGGGATCTCGAAAGGAGAGGCCAAGAGAAGAATGAGTTCGCCCGGAAGTGCAAACGGTTGCTAGCCTCGTGAGGGGCCTCGTGAAACCTTCTAATGGTAGTTAGACGGTATGCCCGAAAGAATAGAATCTTGGCGAGGGGCCCATTGAGAAATGCCGAGAGGAAGATATTGCCGTACTTGCTCTTGGCCAAATACCAGGTTCCCTTTTAGTGGTTCTTCATAACCCAAAGTTACCTGTCATTTCTATCCCACTTCCCCTGGTCCAAGACCAGCTTTAACCTGTAGCCTTTTCTTGGCAGGATCTTTCTCTGTGCTTCGCTTCGGATCTACAAGTAATCGCCGCGTGCGACTTTTTGTGAAGAAATCTGACAATTACTATAGCATAGTTGACTTACAGCGCTATAGGTAGCATCTTATCATAAGCTATCAAAAGCATGGGGCTTAATTGAGCTTTCGAGGGCACCGTTACGTTGCATCTACTATCAGCGGGATTTCCGTAACCGAATGCTAAAGATTATACAGAAGAGGTATGGCTTGACAGGCCGTTGACGGTAGCTATATATATCCTGGTCAATACCCCTGTGCTAGTCTGAAGATCGATTAACCTGACGTTTGACACGTGCTTCAGGGCTGAGCCTTGGCGTAAAACCGAGGCTGTGACAATGTCTTTATGATTACCTGCCTATTTCATGATAATCGAGTTCATTTGAGGAAGTTCAGTCGACTTAGTCAATGAAGATCTCTCGTAAACGGCAACTTCCATGCAGCACCGTCTTCAACATTTGTCGTGTGGCTTCACTCAATCGAGTCGCTTGGCGCGTCCCTGCTGCGCCGCATCCCTGCTTCATCACCAACGGACCTATGACCGCCCGCGTCGCAAAAGCGAATGATACCATCAATTGTCTGGCAGCCAACGTTTAACCGTGATTCGCCTATCAATCTCGTCCCTTTTTCGCATCGCATTAAACCCACCAGCCTATAGCATGCCACCAACCCATGTAACCACTCACCTGAGATGTTATTCCCACCGTTAGACACCTTCCCCATTTCGACTAGAGCCATGCATGTGATGGTCGGCATTTGCCGCACTGACAGCTCTAAGGGTTCTAATGGCCCATAGCTAAACTGCTAGTGGACTGTTTGTTATACCTTTGGAAATATGGTATACCTACATTCCTAATCTGTTGGCTGCCAAGTCACCGTTAGAGACGAACTCTATTCCCTATTCACTAGCGTCGGTATTGAGCTGGTCTGTTATATCTTGATGCCATCTCTCATCATGTTCGGCCCATCGCGCTCACTCCTAGGCATCGCCTTGTCACTCATTCAACAAGTCTCTCGTTTTTCACCATGAGAACCTCGTTCTCGTCCATTCTTTTCAGCCTTTGGCTCCTTGGCCTTGGCGTGCTCGCACACGACGAGTCATGCGGTTGCACTGTCAAGTACATTGTCGTTGAGATGCCTAGTCAAACAGTCGCTGCTCAGACCAAGCCCACCAATATCCGATCTAAGCCTAACCAGACGACTGTTCGTGCGTCTTCGACTTCCGCTCACCACAACACCACGGCGACTTTCCTTCCCAAGCCTCCCGCCAAGGTCGACTTGAGCAACCCCGAGAATGCGGTTCCCAAGAAGAACATCTCCATGTCTTACGGCGATGTTGAGAAGCCCCGTAACCAAACCTTCCCTGCGCTCAACACAACCGCTCCCAAGGGGGCTATCGACATGGACCTTGTCATGAACCATCCAGCTGTTGTTCTGGATCACATTGACGCTATTGTCTCGGTCGAGTGTACGGCCGATTCCGTCAAGGTCCAGTTCGGAAAGTCTGCTGCTTTCGAGAAGGCTATCGATACTTGGTCAGATGACGAACCATTCATTCTCATTACGAACAACATGGGCAATTGCAAGACCGACATTGGCCAAGCTTTCTACCTTGTTGATGGCGTTACTACAGACAAGGGTGATAAGACCATCACTTGCCATGCTGCTGAGCAAGAGCTGGCTGACATTGCTGGCACGTTTCTCTCCATTAATAAAAGACAAGACTAACATTGTCCAGAAACCTGTGAAATGTCGTTCACATCGATCCCTGCCACCAAGTTGACGAAGCGCCTTACACTTAACCCCAGTCTTTCTCTCAACTTCGGCACTGGTCTTGAGAGAGATACTGTCCTTTTCCAGGAACAGCCATGGGTGACCATCAAGGCCGAGAAGGCAGAATTCTCTTCCACTGTCTCCTTCTCTGGCCGCGCCAAGTACAACTTTTGGCGCTTCAAAGTACGTGACTCTGGAGATATGAGTAGCCTAGTGTACTAACTTGAGTAGATGGAAGATCTCTATTTCGATCTCGATACCCATTTCTCAGCTGATGTCGCTTTGGCCGCCGATGTAGCTGCAGCTTGGTCTCGATCTATCCTCTACGACCCCGATACCCTCACATACACCCTCGTCGAAGTTCCTGGTATCCTCTCTCTAGGACCAGGCCTGTCTTTCGCTGTTGGAGTAGATGTTGATACCTCAGCCGCCGTTGCAGTCAGAGCTGGCGCCGGTGTTGCTATCCCCGCCGCAAACGTGCATCTCGATTTCCTCGATTCGGGCAAGAATGCTGCTACTGGCTGGGAGCCTCAGTACACATCTTACGCCAACATCACCGAGAGCGTCGAGGTCGGCTTGAATGCCAGTGCGTCGCTTACTGTCCAGCTCACCTTCAAGCTTCTCGGCGGCCTGGTCGATCTCAGCAGCGGACTCACAGCTACTCCTGAATTTGTGAACAAGTTCACTCTGGATGCTGCACAGTCGGCCCATGCTTCGACTGGTGGTGCTGGAGTGAATCTTTTGGACGCCGAAAAGGTTGCCCCAGTTACGACACCTGGCTCAGAACTTGCTGTCGTAAATGAGCCCAAGGATTGTGGTGTTTCTCTCAAGTCCGACTTCATTTTTGATCTGGAGGGCTTTGCGACAAAGTGGTGGAAGGCTAATCTGTATCACGTTGAGGTCCCCATTACCGATCTTTGCTATAATTTCCAGTAGTAATACCTTGGAAACAAGGACCTCTTGTTATAGATGGCAGCTGTAATATTAGTCTTAGTCTCGTGATTCTCATATACCCTTTGTGCGATCAACCATTAGCCTGATTGTGTTTGTGTAGGCATCTAGAATAAGTCTGACACCATTACGCCACTCGTTCCAGGCATCCAGATAACATCGCACCATAAAAGCTGAACCAGACGAGACGATGAGATTTACGGTAATAGTTTATCCAAGTCGGCGATTTCTCATATAAAGATGCCCGCACAAGATACGTCTGATCTAATCCGCCAACAGGTGGCTGCATGGCTCAACACCACGTCATATGCAGCGTCTTTACTAGAACCTCTGGCTGGTGGACAAGCCAATTTTACGTATCGCGCTCACCTTATCAATCCACTGGACGATGGCACAACTGAAGTCGTTGTCAAGCATGGCGAGCCTTATATGGCGCGTCACCCCGCCAATGCCGTCACTGTCAACAGATGCGTGAGTGAATCAAGGATAAAGGAAGGGTTTGGCTGACACGACAAAGGACGTTGAAGGAGAAATTTTGTCAGAATTGTCTACGAATCCCATAGACGTGATGCAGTCTGGAAAAACTGCATACGCTGTTAGAACAGCAACAGCTTATGCCTACGATACTGAAACCAAGACATTGGTCTTAGAGTATCTCCCCAATGTAGTAGATCTCAAGACCTACTCTCTTAATCATTTCCCATCCCCCACACCTGAGTACTTACGGAACCCAACTCGCGAACTGGGCAAAGTGCTGGCAATATACATGGTCAAATTTCATGACAGGACCAGGGAGATTGTTCGGAAGTCGTTCGAACAGAAGCATACACAACAGCTATTGGGTTTCAACAGGGTGATTGATAGCAGCAATGACATGCAGAGGTTAAAACATGGGATCAATTTCGATTGGATGATCGATCGCGTTGACCAGTTCCCTGGAATTCTGTCGGAAGCAAAGGATACATTTCATCTCGTCAAAAACATGGCACTGAAGGAGCTGAGCGACCCGTCTGCAGACTTGACACTGATTCATGGCGACTATTACCCTCAGAAGTGAGTCCATCCCCAGCTCTTTGGATCCCAAGTTAATGACTTGAAAGTATCTTGCTGGAAAATGCCCATCTTGGATCCGCAACTACCAGAACCTTATATGTCATCGACTGGGAAAATTCTCAGGTCGGCGTTCCGAGCCTTGATCACGGCGGCATGCTGGGCGAGATGTATGTACTCTGGAAATACAAACACATCGACGCTGGGATATGGATGCTTCAAGGTTACGCTGAGGGGCTGGGGCCTCGGACTGAGGATGCAGCATGGCGAGTGGCCCTTCAAGTTGGGGTACATCTTTTGAGTTTTGGTACTTTGGCATCAGGTTGGGGCACGACTGAGGAAGTGGAAGATTTGGCTCGTTTGGCGAGAAATGTTATTGTCAAGGCTTGGACTAGAGACAGGACTTGGTTTGACAAGAGCGATTTTGCCTGCTTGTTTGCAGGTACTACACAAGATCCAGGACACAATTAGATATTCGGGGTCATCGATCATGGGAACTGGAGAGCCTCAATCGGTTACCCAATTTTTAAGCCTGGCAGTGACGCTAGAATCGCCCAAGATCGTGACATAATCAGTGGATATTGGCGAAGCTTGTTGCTCACCACGGCAGTGACCTCGAATGCCGGCAACACTCAAATGCAGGGAAAAGAAACGAGTATGATGCTCAGGACCACGTCTGAGTTGTACAACAACCCGATCACGAATGATATGACTCGGTTACAGCTGGGCACTCGGCTACGAGCCAATCAATTTGTTACATATACGCGTCGTTGAGAATCTCGATGAGTTTGTTAACAAATTCTTGATTTGAGATGATGCCAAGTCCATTCGCTCGGATAATGCGGCCTCGGCTGACGGCGTTTCAATATGGAGCCGCAAATCCCCGATCCAATCAGAGACAGTGATCTTCAAGAACTGCAAGGAACAGAGCCGATACAGGCAGGTTTAGTTGTTGATTTATTTTATGCTGTGACGTCAAAGACACAACAAGAACATGGGGCTTTGACAACAAACATCACCAATGATCTCATATCCTCACTAATTGATAAAACAAATAAAATAGCTAGAAACTCAATTGAATTTTTGATCTTCGGCGCATCCAGACTCGTTGTGACCTCTCGCTAACTCACCATGGCTCATCAAAATACCCTTAGCAAGGCTCTTGTAGGCCTGCTGCCTTTCGCTTCAGCAGCTTCACTCAACTCCGAGTACACCTTCAATCCTCTTCACCATCTCGCGGGTATTGCTCCCTACTTCGAGCCCCAAGATCCTCCCGCTTCTCCCGACGCGCCCCAAGGCTGCACCCCCGAGCGCGCTGCGTATCTAGTGCGACACGCTGCCATTTACGCCAACGATTTTGACTTTGAGGAGTACATTGAGCCATTCATTGAGAAGGTTCAGAACAAGACCAAGATCGACTGGAGCAAGATTCCTTATCTGAACTTTCTGGACGATTGGGAACCTCCAATTTCTGATGCTGAGGTATCGCTTTTAACCAATGTGGGAAGACTTGAGGCTACGCGATTGGGCGTTGACCTGGAGTTCCGATACCCAGAGTTCAAGCAGCCCAAGAAGGTCTGGACTTCATCCGCCGAACGAACCGTCAAGTCGGCTCAATCTTTTGTCCGTGGCCTTGAGTCCGACGATAAGTCGATCAAGGTCGAGAGCATTTACGAGTCAGAGGAATCTGGTGCCGACAGCTTGACTCCCTACAAGGCCTGCCCCGCCTACGATGGCTCCACCGGCAGCGATGAGGCCGAAGTCTACCAGAAGAAGTACGCCAAGCCAATCGTCGATCGCTTCAACGCGCTTGCATCAGAGTTTAACTTCACCGTCAATGATATTTTCGGCATGCAGCAGCTTTGTGGCTACGAGACTGTTACTCGCGGCAAGTCGCCGTTCTGCAACCTTGAGCTCTTCACTCCCGATGACTGGCTTGGCTGGGAGTACTCCGAGGACGTGCGATATCACTACAACGCTGGTTACGGCAACCAGATCTCTGGTTACGTCGGTATGCCTTGGCTCAACACCACAGCTGGTCTCCTCCTTGGTGATGACTCCGATGAAGAGCTTTACGTCAGCTTCACCCACCGTGAACTACCTCCCATGGTCCTTGTCGCTATGGGTCTCTTTAACAACTCCGAACCCGCCGGTACAGAATCTCAGATCAACGACACCATGCCCCTGAGCAAGATCAACTACCGTCGCGCCTGGAAGAGCTCTCACGTACTGCCCTTCCTGAGCAACATCGCCATCGAGCGCCTCAACTGTACCAACACCTACGGTTATGAAGATGGAGAGTACTACCGCGTTCTAGTCAACAGTGCACCCCAGGCTCTACCTTCGTGCGAAGACGGACCCGGAACAAGCTGCACCCGAAAGGGTTTCGAGGAGTATGTGCAGGACAGAGTCGAAAGGTTTACCGGCTTCTCTGAAAAGTGTGGAGTGGAGTACGATAACTCTACTGACATTCTGTCCATTTACAACAATTAATGACTGTCACGATTATGTAGCTTCAAATATATATTTAATATACATCACACTTGATTTGTTAGCGCCGACCCTCATAAACCTTGTGGATCGACGTTAAGTTTTCATTGCCGCAGTGAAATGGTTTAAAACTCCGTTATAGAGAGTTTAAGTCGGCTATGGTCTGCCGTGACCTCTTACTTCGTGGTACCTGAGAAAAGAATGCCTGAAAATATGACTGACACCAAGTACACCAGTGTTTTACTCTTTCAATCACGCCAGGCAGAGCAGACCTTGCAATCTCCAGGATACCATTTAACTCACTTATTATTCGACGTATAAGAAAGACACTTTTTTTTTGATAATCATGATTTGTCTGTCAAAACCTACTTAGGTATTAAGCTTTACAGTCGCGGATTTTCTGACGTGCGATTTGTCACGCTTTGGGGTATGAACCATTCAAGACGCTTTTGACTTTCATTCGTCGACATATGTTCTCGAGAATTCGCCGCATGGGATGAGTATAAGATGCAATGCTCTGCTTGTAAGCTGAATTAACTGGATGAAATGGTTTATCTGTCCGAAATTATCACCTCTGATAACAAAAAAAGCACCACCAAGTTGAAGTCGCGCACAACTCTTACTTGTCAACGCCGAATTGATCTCTAGTCAAGATGAGACGAGCGAGCGATACAGAGACCGCATCCCAAGATCGCTGCTTCACTCTCTTCCCTAACCTACCAGCCGAGATACGCCTGATGATATGGGAAGCCGCCTTACCTGAAGAGATACATCCTAGGTCGAAGATATGCGAGATTTGGGACTTGAAACGAGGCGAAGACATAATTGCATCCACACCCCGAGCGACAGCTAATATAGCTTTTCTGGCCTGTTGTCACGAGTCCCGTCACTTTGCTATCAATAATGGAAGTTTAGTACCATTAAAGAGCCTTGTACCGGGCAAAGCGTGGCAAAAGAAAGTCTGGATAGATCGCAATGTCGAGATCGTCTTCATCCCTTTCGAACCGCGCTATCTCGACAGAATCATCACTCTCCCACCGAATATCAAAGTCCTAGCCGATACAATAGGTAATACATACGACCCCGTGCGCGAAGATACCGTCGGGAAATACATTACCAAATGGCGAAACGAAGGTACTATCGATATTGATACCTTATACTTTGGCCTTGAGGACGAACTTCCCAGGTAAGTATTTCTAGCAGCTTCATGATTTACTGCCGGAGACTTGCTAACAAATGTTTTGTAAACAGGAATTTAAAATCAAACAGAGATGGGAGGAGAATACATATTTGGTCTCCGAGGTTTGGAGGCATTCATATGATATGGCCCAGGGAATCTGAGAATGAGAGCGAGCGAGTGCAGCCCAGGGAATTTGAGAACGAAAGCGAGCGAGTGCACCAAAGCACTCTTGAAGATTTCTCTTTTACGGAGTTTCTGTGGGACTTATGAATGTTTCTCGCCGATTGACTTCTCATACCTTGCCTTTCACTCCATTGAGTCTTCCCGTCTCAAATATCACACGGACTACACGCAATATCTCTATCTATCTGCCCTGTCAGCAAGCCATAGCGCCTTTCGAACCATGATAGCTGGTTCTTACGGGTACCCCGGCGAGGACAGACCGCAAACTCCCACGAAGCCTTTTTGATACCCCTGCGAGGACTTTACAACCCCGCCTGGGTTTGCTCCAGCGAACCATCTTTCCCGTGCTATTCTTCAGCTTGTGCGAGATCCAAGAAATAAAACTAGGTTCAAGCGATATCCAGTGCCCTTAGGGGCTAGACTATAAAAACATGCACATTGTGCAGGGTCTCCCCCCCAAAGGAGCAGTATGTAGTTAATTTATGTTTTATTCAGCACACTGATAATTATGTTACCAGGGACTATATCATGCAGAAGCATACAGAAGATATGACTGGGCATTCGGCGGATGCAAGAGGAGCCTATATACCAGGATATTGAATACAGCAATGATGGTTACTTCACTGTAAAAGGCCGAAGCCGCTGTTAAGTGGGCTGTCGAGACTGAGAATCTTGACTAGAAGAGTTTGGAAAGAGTCGTTTTGGCGATCATCTGATGTAGATGGCGAGCTTGACACCGTCGTTAGTTTAGCTTCCTGCAGCGCTTGAACACTTAATCGAAGCATGACTCATTTACACCTTTCAGTTCCCTAATTATGTCGCGCAGCTAGGTTCTCTGTGCTGATCTAATTTCTCATCCACAAGTCTCAATTGGAAATAACACACCTGAGTGACGACTCAACGATATCGCGTAAGTTTGGTATTCAAACCTTGAGTCCACTTGTCAGAACTCTATGGCGAAAAGGCCCTCACAACAAACAAAAGACACATTTTAAGAGCCCACTACGTGTCTGAAGGTTCTGAATTAGAAAGTCAGAATAAAAATGAGCAGAAGATGTCTTATATAAAACGGCAAACTCTCCCCTTACGCCCGTCTTATTCTCTTGTATCATCATCACACAAACATTGCATCATAACTTTACCAAAGCTCCTTCACGGCTCTTGCAGCAGCACTGGGTCTCCCTTGTCAGCACTGTACACTCAGACATCACCTGCTGCCATCATGGGTCAATCCATGTCAAGTGACTTTGAGAGCTTCGACAACTTACCACCAGAGCTTAGGCTGATGATTTGGGAAGAAGCTCTTCCGAAGAAAAAAGACACACATGCAGCCTACAAAACTTTCCATGACGCCTTCTTACGTGGCCTACGGTTGGAAAAGCCAGAGGGGGCAGATGGACCTCGACCCCTCCTGGAGGCATGCTACGATTCTCGGGCCGTGGCAACGAAGAGTGGATCGTACATGACTGTCAAAGACAAAAAACATCGAATATTCTGCAAAACAATCCGAGGAATTTTCGAAAAAAGATTCCATTCGGTCTGGGTTGACAATAGTATTACAACTTTACACGTACCAATCGCTGCACTGACATGTGGACGCATCACCAATTTACCAACCAACATCAAGGCTGTTGCTTGCATGGTGCCTACACCACAGGCACTCCGAGCCTTGCAAAAGTGCCTCACCCACGATACCGAGTACAAAGGTATCAAAACAGTGTACCTTGGGATTGCTGGCATACCCATCCAGTATAGCAAAGGCGACGACCCAGACTACTATCCCTGCACGGAATCAGAGTCAGCCGTTGTGCCACTTGACGACAAGAAGTTGATCACGTATCTTGAATCAGCCTACAAATCCCATGTCTTTGCGGCAGTCGGTAACAGGGTGATGTTTGAGGAGGGATTCCATCACAAAAGCGCACTGAGGTTCAAGAATAGCCTCGAAAAAGAGTGGAAATACCAACAGGACTTGCGTTCAAAATGGGACCCCAAGAACGGCATCGAGTTACTACCGGCTGTCATCTTTGGACAAAAGACGGGGAAAGTAATGCCCTGGAGCAGAGGTCGTATCCAGGGTGCTGTCCTTAAGCTTCAGATCGGTCGGCGCGAGGCTCAGGCTGACCTAAAGTGGATGCACGGGTTTGCCTTTGACAACAGAGCTGACCACGAAGACGACCTAGATGAGCTTCCGTGTCATGAGTGGCTACGAAGGATGGCGCGCAGGGAGAAGGATAGGCTCCGGAACTTTTATTGGTCACCGCACAATGCCGAAGGGGAGAAAAGGTGGAATGCTGCTACGTGAAGTAGTAAATCGGTCTCACTTGTGTATATTTGGCATGTTTCGATCTAGATGAAGGACAAGAGATCCTTATGCGTATTTTCAACCAAATCCCAACCATCACTTTCAGATTGCGACCCTTCCATCCTCTTGTTATGATCATCCTTACCCGGATCTGGGTATTTCCTCACATGTTCAATGGCCCAGATGAGGTCTTTGCTCAACACAGGAGGTATTCTACCTTCCCCAGACAATGTTCCCAGGCCCGCGATCTTGAAGAACCCCTCCAACCATCCGAAAGTTTCACCAGTCTCCCACTCTATCTCGTGAAACTTCCTTCCTTGCTGCCTACAAAGCTTCTCTCTGTCAAGTTCCCATTTCTTTTGCTCCTCTTTTGGTGGAAGAGAAATGGAGTTTCTCCCTGAGAAGAGTCGTGCAAGTGCGATGGCTTGGTATTCGAAGCTTCGAAATGTCAAGACGCGAGGCATGCCGACTACTGCCAAGTTGGGGATGTCCTGGAAGAAGGTATGCCAGTAGTTGTTGACAAGTTTTCTCTTCTTGTAGTCAAACAGTGGACGGCCGTTTACTTTGCTGTTCCAAAATGGATAAGATGGAAGATATCCTGTACAGTAAATGATGTGATCAAGGTCTTCGAGCTCGCTGCCATCATCGAACACGACTGTACCATCCACTCGGTACTCTTTGATGACTGTTTTCCACTCCATTCCGAGAGGAGGTTCATCGCCATCCAACCTCCCCCGCGACCGTCGCGACTGGTATAGCGGTTGATGGACAGACTGTAGAAGATCCACTGCTATATCATGACCAGAGGCCGAGTTTCCAATGACGAGGACTCTTTTTTCGGCGTATATCCACGGTGAGCGATAGAATTTGGAGTGTATCACTCTGCCAGGAAATTTCTCCATGTATGCCTCCAAGCCGTCGACTTGCGGAACCTAGTCACATTTATCGTCAGACAGTTGTCTTCACCGGATCAAAGTACTTACCCAGGGAATAGCATAGTGCCCGTTGGCAAGTATAACGGCGTCAAAGTCTTCTTGCCACCATACATCGACGTGACGCAGAGGGTCATATTTCCGTAATGTCAACCTCCACGGCTTCAGCCCTCCCTTTGTAGCGGCAGGTAACTGGGAGATGTCTTCTACTGTAGTGTTGAGAGATAAATACTCGTCAGTCTTTTGTGTGGAGAAATATGTTTCGATATATTGGCGAGGGACATAATGGGGAACGAAAGGGCCATAGGAGAACGGCTGGTCCGAGAATGACATGGCGATTTGAGGCACATTTGTTCTGCTTCGTGTTAGTAACCGTGGACTTGAATGATCGAGTCAGCGACTTGCGTTAAGTTCTGATAAATAGGAGTATGAGCGTATCTCTCTTGCTGATTCGGAGGCGTCGTGGTCGGTAGGTTGTCTGGAATGGCAAGTGGCTTATCAATATCTGCTGGGAAGCCCCCAGGCTGAATGGGAGCGACTGTTGGGTCGGCATCGTAAATCCTAGTATTGTTGAGTCTACAGTCTTTGCCCCCCAGTTTCTCTGTTCTTACCATGTACCCCCAGGTGTTTCTCTCCGTTCGAACACGCGAATACGGTCGAAGTTATTCTCTGCCTTTAGAGCGGCCGCGGAAATGGCGCCTACGAAAATAGACGATTAGCTCCTCCATAGGTCGCTAAGCGGGGTGAAAGCGTGGAGAATCACCGGCAGCTCCGGCTCCAACAACCGCAACAGACTTGATGTTGTAGTCTCCCATAATGAATTTCTGAAATCAACAAGGATATTATTACTATGAGAAAGATAAGTATTTAGAATCTATTAAACAGAAACGACATCGATCTATCTCATACTATCTCATATTACTTATCGCAACACGCCATATGCTGAGATCTCTCATCATATTCGTCATGTGTAACATCTATGTCACCATCGCGCATCACGTGAATCATCACTAATCATGCGATGTCTGATACGGTAGATGACACAATGCCCGAATATACAAAATGAAAAGCACTATTAATTATACATTCTGCTCCTTTTTCGTCCGATCACTGAGGTTTCAGGTCGACTTTGCCTCTTTCAGCTTTCTCTCCAACACGTCTATGCCACCAAGCTGTTTGACAGTCGAGTCGAAGGTGCCAGTCGGAAACAGAGTGCCTAGGCGAGCCAAACCAGCACTACCGCCTCGAAATATCAGGTAAGGTGGTTTGCGTTGACTTAAATCTCCAGCGACTTGTTTCGCCCAGGTCATTGCATCAGGTTTGTTCATCCCTACTTCGTTGCCATTCATGCTAGATTCGATGGCCTCCTTGGCGACGTTATATATCGAGTCCTTGGGAAGCTCAGCATCCGGCGAATTATGGTGAAACGTAGACTTGACGCCGCCAGTGAACAAGTTGATGGTGCGAATGCCGAAAGGGGCGAGTTCAACTCTCAAACTCTCAGTCACACTGGCTGCAGCGGCCTTGGATGCTGCATAAGTTCCTTGGAATGGAATGCCAGCTCCGAGAAGACCAGACGCAGAGGTGTTGTTGATAAGTAAAGCGCCGTGGGTAGACTTGAGAAGCAGGGGTACAAAGGCTTGGGTGACCCTGATGATAGAGAAGACATTGAGTTCAAAAAGATCGTGGCTTTTGGTGATGTCAGCGTGGATAAGTGGCATACTGTAGCCGGTGCCAGCATTGTTGAGCAAGGCGTCTAGTGAGCCGCCAGTGATTTTTTTGACTTCCTCAACGGCTGCTGAGACGGATTTATCCGAGCCAACATCCATTTCGATGCATTCGAGACCGGCTTCCTTGACCTTGCCCAGCTTCGCTAGGTTACGTCCAGAAGGGAAGACACGCCATCCACGGTCTTTCATCGCAAGTGCCAGAGCGGAACCTAGACTGCCATCTGAGCAACCTGTTATCAAGATGGTGCGCTTGTCAGACATTGTAAAGTATTGGTGTTACGCGATTTTAAAGCCAAAGGGTGATGACGAAATGAAAAGATTAATGATAGCTCACGAAACTGGTGTAACAGGATGAATCTATTTATACGGTATATTTGATCCATGAATCTTACTTCCCTTCACTTCCTGTGATTGATTTCGACTGCGCACTCGCATAGCACGGCCAATCAGTCGAGCCGCCCCCAATGGTTGGTCATCATTTCAGGGCGCCAGCGATCTTTTTCATGTCTTGTGATTGGATCAATGAAAAGTCGGTGTTACATTCGGGACATAGCCGTTCTCCGAACCTTTTTGGGTCCAATAATTGGACAGACAGTTCCGTACGGACTGGTAGAGGAAGCAGAAAAGAATAAGCAAATAACTCCAGTTCATTGGTCCCAATTATGTTGCAGCAAGCGGACCTAGAGACTTTGTTACTGGAGGTGGCACCATTAGAAGCCAAAAGCATAATCCAGACTGCACATACATAATTGATGAGTCTTGTGTCCTTTATATGATCTATGGTGTATGACTGCCCTAGCTATTGAAATGATATCGCATCGCTACTATCCACGACATACAGTTCCCCATCAACCATATCGGGGCAATGGTTGCCCCGACTCTAGGATGGCGGAGTTGCGGAGTTTCAGGCCATCCGCCTCTCAGACAAGCCATTTAGATACCTAGTATCTCATCACTTCCTACCCATCGCGTGCTCAATCTCTTTGAGCGCAGCAAGTACCTTCTCATCGTACTGCCTTCGTCCAACAATTTGCAGGTTGATAGGCATATTGGCGTATTTCTCAGGGCTATAGAGGTCGTAGTTGAACTTGTCGTCCGCGTTCTTGGGGACGTAGTTTAGGTCCTTGGGGTCCTTCTCAGGGTCGACTGTTGTTACTGGGAAAACTGCCGCGGGACTGGGATCACTGTCAGCAGAGTTTGGCGGAATATCATGAGGATGACTTACTAGTCAAGCAGATTCCAGTGGGAAGTGTAGCCCCAGTACCGTGACTGATCATGAGGCGCCGCGGCTCCAGGGAATGGCGGACATAGAATCACGTCAACCTCTCTTCCGTCGTTCTTGCTTGTGTATGACCACGCTCGAGCATATGCTGCCCGATAATCGTCGCGCTTGGTGCATAGCTAAGAAGCTGTCAGTATTGTCCGATCTTTCGTGCCAATTACACTCACCTCCCAAAGCTCATGCATCGTCAAATCCTTCACGCTGGGCTGCTCCTGAATAATGAACTTTGTCAATGGGAGTACAGGCTCGCCAGCGGCCTCCATGAGCTCAAGAGCCTCCTTGCCTCCATCTGGCCAGTATAATGCTGATAGGATCTCCCATCCCTTCTTATGGTCCAAAGGCTCAGAGTCCCAGTCAACAACTTCCATGCCTGCTTTCCGGCAGGCTTCCGCAACCTCCCTCAGAGCTCTTGTCATGGGAGGATGGGGCTGGACAACACCGTCCCACCATTGAACCGCAACCTTTAGAGGTCTGTCGAATTTGAAAGGAGTCCATGGCTTGGCTGTAAGGGAAGGATCGATGAGCCATGGCTTCTTTGATAAGGCGACTTCCATAAACAGTTCGAGGGACTCGCGGTCAAGCGTCATCGGTCCAGGTGTTGAGGAAACGGTCTCCTTGCCGACCATGATCGAGCGTGCGCCCATGACGGAGATTCGCTTCAGAGTTGGCCTGTTTGGGTTTAGTAAAGATACGTCGAGCATTACTACCATGATAACTCACTTGAAGGCATAGATTCCGTTGTGGGCAGCTGGGCAACGGACACTGCCACCAATATCACCACCAATACCCTATTCACGTCAGTCAAAAGCTCAGGCCATGGACAAAAGTATGTTTACCAAGATGCTTCCACGGAAGCCAAGCAAAGCTCCCTCGCCACCACTGCTGCCACCAGCCGTTAAATCGCGGTTGTAAGGGTTGACTGTTCGTCCGTAGATGTTGCTGATGGTCTCAAGGTGCATGATAGTTTGAGGTTGAGTGGTTCGTACGTAGAAGACGCAGCCTTCGTCATACAAATGGTCATATAAAAGGTTAGAGCCATGAGCTTTGCCAATCCACGCAACGAATGAGGCGTGAGTTGAGACATTCTCGCCAACCATGCCGTGATGTTCCTTGGTAGAAATGGGAAGGCCGAAGAGCTTTCCCTTGGGCTCCGGTAGTGAATCAAGATACTTGGCCCGCTCAATGGCTTGATCCCACATAAGTTCAACTAAACAGTTGGTCTACTCGAATTATTAGCATCTTGCTTGGGTGTAAGTGGACTATCACTTACAGCAACCTGAGCGAGAGCAGCTCTCCGCAAGAATGCACGCGTCACCTCCTCAACCTTGATCTCTCGCTTACGGAGGACATCGAGGAGCTCCATCACTGAATACTTTTCTGTGATCTCAATCTCGCGTGCAGTCAAGATACCTTGAGGAAGGCTTTGAGAGCTACGAGGGAGCTCATCGGGGATGCCCTGTAGCTTTGGCTCGACCTTGCCAAGGCCGATATCGCGCTGTTGTAAGGCAGCTGATACTGTTTCTTTATAAGATGCCATGATGTCCAAGCTGATCTTATCAGTTGTCAGTGATGTAGTCGATTAAGGTTGTTAAGGAGAAGGAACACATACTATAGTCTGTAGTATTATAAAAGGAGGATGAAAGAAAGAAAGAAGGAAGGGATGAGTTCAAAGGATGTCAAATGATTACATTCTCCAAGTCATTCAAGTCAGGTGGGGTTGAGGTCAATATCGCCCGTCGGCTTATCCTATGCCGCTATTGGCAGGCCGAGCCGACGATATCCAACCGCCAAACCCCGCATTTGAGCGCCCTTTTCATTGTCAACTTGTCATACCAAATGATAGATAGCTCAAGTTACAGTGCATTCGACAGATTAGATAACGTGGAATTGGTTGAGGCCTAAGATCCTCACGAGGGGTAGCACCGGGACCCGAGATTACCGGCGATAAAGAAGCGACACGGCTCCGAGTTTATCGGGTCCTCTACAGAACTCGGGGTTTTGAAGAGCCTCGGATAATCCTTCTAGAAATGGAAGCTGTTCCAACGTACGTCGGACTAAACCGCTGCCCTCAAGAGTTTAAATATCTTAGCAATTCGTCGTGTTCCCTATTCATTATAAGTAACATCATTTTTGAATTGTTTGGCTGATGCTGCCTTTTACCCATGCTCAAGTCTACCACGCAGTTCGCCGTCGGCCGATGCATCCGCAGATCTCACTAACGTCTCATCACGTGGACTTCATCCAGATGCTCAGCTGAAGGACCTGGACCTGCCACCATGCAAGTCAAAATAGCTTCATCCCCGCACGGGGATATTGGCTCAGTCATGCCAAGAACTGACCCAAACATAAATATCCAAAAAAGGCATAGGTTTTGTTAGGGCTACAGTGAAATCCCGCCTCTATAAACGACAGCATACCTTTTTCTCTCTCTGAGAAGCATTATGTCTCATGGCTAGGGATACGGCCGAAAACACGAGCGCGATGTTAACGCGAAATATGCACGTTACTTAGCCTGTCTTTTTCCCATTAAAATTATCTACTATGCATGGAGGTTCAAGGTTTGAAAACGGGGCTTGAAAGTTCATAGCGGGACTGAACCTAAAAATGACACATGAGAATCGTACCAGATTCGACACTAAAACGAAGTAGCTGAGCGTTTGTTTTTAGACGAGACGATGTAAATCATAAGTGGAGTTTAATGAATTCCGGTTCGGCATGAGCTCCTCCGCCTCACAAGTACACACCAACCTTAGCAGCTCCCAGGGTATCCATGCCGAGATATCCAGGTTTCCGTCTAGACAAAAACGTGTAAGGGCAAGTTAGTACAAATGTAAGACTGACCTTGCATTGAATCTCTGGTTTGCGCATACATAAAAATGCAAAGAAAAGAAGAGGGATCCTAATCACTCAGCTTATCTCATGTTTAGAAGATACGAATCCTACGGACTTAATCACATTGCAACCATTCAAGTCCCCTATCAATCGAAATGCCTATCCAATCAAGGTGGTCTACTCCGACGCCTCGAATATCTCTACCTAGTTGGGTCTTTGGAAGTGAACAGCATGGCTCACGCAATGAAAAGATCGCTTTTGTGGATGCTGATGACCCAAAGAATACTTTGACGATTTCGGAGTTCGAGTTGTACTCAAAACGCCTCGCAGTAGGTCTCAGTCGTCTTGGAGTCACGCCGGGAGATCGAGTCTTGGTGTTCTCTGAGAATGGAATCTTTGTGCCATGCCTGTTCTTCGGCATCATCATGGCTGGCGCCATCTATACAGGCGCAACTTCATCAAGCACGGCTTTGGAACTCAGCTACCAGCTGAAAGATAGTGGCGCCAAAGTTCTCATTACCAGTACGAATCTTATCAAAATCGCCGTTGAATCAGCACGCATCAGCGGCCTCGAAAAGAGCCATATCTTTCATCAAGACGCGCGAATTCCCCGCAACAACAATTTTTCTCATGACGGAGTACGCTCGTGGACTGATCTTCTCAGCTCTACTAACGTGGCTGAAAGCTTCCAGTGGTTTGAACCGCCAAACCCCGAGACTGCTGTATGTTGCCTAAACTACAGCTCGGGGACAACTGGCAGACCTAAAGGCGTAGAGGTGACACATTTTGCCTACATTTCCAATGGTGAAGCGCACCTCATACTTCACCGACTTCAGCAAGAAGCTTGGCTGGAGTCTTATCGTGCTCGCGCCCTGTGCTTTCTCCCACTTAACCATGTTGCGGCACAGACAACATTCATTGCCAACTGTCCCAAGATGGGCATGGAGACCTATGTCATGAGGCAGTATAACTTTAATGACATGCTCCGACACATTGAGAAGTACGAGATCACTGAGCTGATGGTTGCTCCACCAATTATCTCATCGCTCGTGGCGAACTCGGCATTGGTGGGCAATAGCCTCAGGAGTGTGAAAAATGTGATTTGTGGGACAGCGCCACTTGCTTTGTCGCTGGAGCAAAGGGCAAA